GATGCTCTGTCACTTTTGGGGGGATTTAAGTATCCCCCTGATTTTATTTTACAGGTTTCAGATTTTTGTGCACACCTGGGGACTGCCCCAAGTGTGCACAAAAATCTCCCTCCCCCCCAAGTGCCCCCAGTGCGCGGATTTAGGTATCCGCACGCACGGGGGCGACTTGGCTATTAGATATAGAGATTCTGACTAGGACAGTTAAGTGAATTTAAACACATCTGTATAAATTCGTTTCGCGAACTGAAGAAGGCATTTGACCACATTTAACACCTTGACATAACATCGGAGCCTTCCCTGGGATCTTTTCCATCAACTATGTCTGTGCTGATTCCTGCCGTGAAAATATTGGATTATGATTCGCCATTGCGTAGGAATTTATATATTGCACTTTACATTTTGTGTGGTTTCAAATTGTTTTAACATTTTTATGTAAGCCGCCCTGAGCCTGCCTTGGCGTGGAGGGTATAAATCGAATAAATAAATAAATAAGATGAACTTGTGAAGAACATAAGAGATGCCAATGTTGGATCAGGCCAAAGGCCCATCCAGTCCAACACTCTGTATCACACAGTGGCCAGAAATACCAGTGCCTTCAGGAGGTCCACCAGTGGGGCCAGGACAGAAGCTTTGTATCCAGTTTTACTGAATTATTTTTTATTTAAAAAGCCCAGAACGCATCCTCTGTACTCCCTAATAGTTGAAAGCACTTTAGCAGGTGCAGGGAGAATGTGCATTTTGTCCACTTGCATTTATTGCAACTTGAGAGTTCTCCCACGAGAGGCTCAGGCTAGCATAAGCTCACCTGCTCCACAGCTGTACTGTTAATATCCTTAAGACACAGATTATGCCAGGACGTGGTGACCGGCCCAAAAGCTTGCTAGCCACATGGAGACTTGGAACATCAGCCTTTCCAGTACAAAATCCAACCTGCTAGCTCTCCCAACACACAGGGTACGCTAGTCCAAGTAGCAGGGCTATTTTGGGGCAGGAACGCACAGGAACAGAGTTCCGGCTGGCTCCCAAGTTGGCCACGCCAGCAGGAACTCACTAGCATAATAGGCCACACCCAACAGCAGGAACTCATTAGGATTGGCTACATTAGGGGTGTGTGGCCTAACATGCAAAGGAGTTCCTGCTACAAAAAAGGCCCTGGGTTTTGACAACAAACAAGGTAAACAGAATAAGAAGGGAAAAGTGGGTGTGGCTGGATAACCACACTGCTGGTAACATGGGGGTGCGGCCTAATGTGCTAATGAGCTGTGCTGTCAGGGGTGTGGGCCAATATGCTAATGAGTTCCTGCTGTTGGGTGTGGCCTATTATGCTAATGAGTCCCTGCTGGGCTTTTTCTACAAAAAGAGCCCTGCCAAGTAGTAATAATCCACACAGAAGGCCTTTCCTGGCAGGAGGCAGCAGCCCATAGGTGGAACATAGATTCAGGTGGGTAGCCATGTTGGCCCGAAGCAATACAGCAAAGTTTGAGTCCAGTGGCACCTTTAAGTCCAACAAGGTTTAATTCCGGGTATACGCTTTTGTGCGCATGCACATGAAACACTAAAAGAGCATCCTTGCAGTAATACTGGCTGTGAAAAGCATCACCCCGCAAAGGCTGCCCATTTGGGACTTTCTTTCACATCCCTTCCTCATTGAACACACAAAGGAGGTAAAAAAATACAAGAGCTTTTACTGGGGACAAGTACATGGCTAAGCAGAGTACAAAGGAATGCAAGTTCTACCCAGCATGGATGTGACCCCACTGGCAGCTATGGGCCATGCCTAAGCATAGCAAGATAACATGAACATGTTTATGTTCACAATACAAGAACTCGTGGGCACTCCATGAAATTGCTGAGCGGTCGGGTTAGAACGGATAAAAGGAAGTACTTCTTCACCCAAAGAGTGATTCACACATGGAATTCACTGCCACAGGAGGTGGTGGCGGCTACAAGCATGGACGGCTTCAAAAGGGAATTAGATAGGCATATGGAGCAGAGGTCCATCAGTGCCTATTAGCCACAAGGTATAGATAGGGACTCTGGGGCAAGTGATGTTCTGTCTTCTTGGTGCTTGGGGGGGGCCAACAGTGGGAGGGCTTCTAATGTACTGGCCCCACTGGTGGACCTCCTGATGGCACCTGGTATTTTTGTGTGACAGAGTGTTGGACTAGATGGGCCTTTGGCCTGATCCAACATTGGCGTCTCTTATGTTCTTATGGAAGGCGGCAGTTACTTCTAGAAAGCTTATACCCTAAAAAATTTTTTTTAAACTATTTTTTGTATTTTGTGCATGTGTGTGTGCTTGCGTGCCTGGAAGTCATGGCGACTTCTAGCAAACCCTAGTGGGGCTACATTTCAGAGAGGTAGCTAGATTGCCTGCCTCTGCATCCCAGCCCTGATATTCTTTGGAGGTCTCCCACTCAAGTACTTGCCAGGGTCAGCCCTGCCTGGGCTATCCAGGTCAGGGCATACCCTGGGAATTTTATTAGGCTCTAAGGTGCTGCTGGACTTGAATCGGGCTCTTCCACTGCAGAACAATACGGCTACTCACCTGAAACCACTTTTGCCGTTTTGGCTGCTAGCTTTGCAGAGTGTGCTTTATCCCCTTGCCACAAAATCTGGAAAATCTGCCTTAAAGATGAAGAACATCTAGTTCTTAGAGGCTAGACGGATGTCATATGAGTGCGAAAGCTTCCACCGACCAGGTTTGAATCCCCAGCCATGAAACCCTGGGCTGGTTGGTCACCTTCACAGCCTAACCTGCTTCTCAGGGTCAGAGTGTGAACCCAACAGGGAGCAGAAGAGTGTGCAGAGTGTGCACAACGCCCTGGGGTGGGGCAAGGTAAAAATGGAGAGATTTCCTCACTAGCTATTTTGTTGTTGTTCAGTCGTACAGTCGAGTCCGACTCTTCGCGACCCCATGGACCAGATCACGCCAGGCCTTCCGGTCTTCCGCCGTCCTCTGAACTTCATGTTCGTTGCATCTATGACACTGTCTAACCATCTCATCCTTTGCCGTCCCTGTATTCTTTGACCTTCAGTCTTTCCCAGCATCAGGGTCTTCTCCAGTGAGTGCTCCCTTCTCATTTGGGGGCCAAAGTATTTGAGCTTCAGTTTCATTATCTGGCCTTCCAGGGAACAGTCAGAGTTGATTTCTTTTAGGATTGACTGATTTGATCTCCTTGCAGTCCAAGAGACTCTCAAGAGTCTTCTCCAGCACCATAGTTCAAAAGAATCTATTCTTTGGCGCTCAGCCTTCCTTATGGTCCAACTCTCGCAGCCATACAGGACTACCGGGAATACCATTGCTTTGACCATGCGGACTTTTGTTGGCAGGTTGATGTCTCTACTTTTTATCATGCTGTTTAGGTTTTGTCATTGCTTTCCTCCCAAGGAGCAGGCGTCTTTCAATTTCATGGCTGTTGTCACAGTCTGCGGTGATCTGGCTCTTTGCCTGACTGCAAATCCCAGTGTTCCAACAGAAGCATGACAAAGAACTGAGAACTCGCTTGGGAAGGAAATGGGCGGGGGGAGAGAGAGAACACTGACAATGGAGTCCAGAATGCAGCAGCCTGACTGTTGCCTGGGGCCTAGCCGCCAGGAACGCATGTTGCCCGTTTTGAACTAGCTGCATTGGTTGCCAGTCTATTCCTGAGTTTAATTCAAGGTTCCAATTATGACCTTTAAAGCCCTTCATGACCTGGGACCCACATATTTGAAGGACCTCCTCCTTCCATACGTCCCCATGCGCTTTCTAGTTGTCAGGCAGCCATCTGTTGGCTCTCACACTGCTTTGGTGTAGTGGGTAAGTGCGCAGATTCTAATCTGGGAGAACCGGGTTTGATTCCCCACTCCTCCACTTGCAGCTGCTGATGTGACCTTGGGTCAGTCACAAGCTCTGGCACAGCTGTTCCTGAAAGAGCAGTTTCTGTCAGAGTTCTCTCAGCCCCACCCACCTCACAGGGTGTCTGCTGTGGGGAGGGGAAGGGAAAGGAGTTTGTAAGCCGCTCTGAGACTCCAAGTGAAGGGCGGGGTTTAAATCCAATCTCCTCCTCCTCCTCCTTAGGGTGGCCTGTCTGGCATTGACCAGAACCCAGGCTTTTTGTGTCATGGCTCTGGCTCTGTGAGACGGGCTCCCTCAAGAAAAGAGCCCCTCTTCCCCCCAGGAGATCTCCAGGAAATGCCACAAGCACTGTTTGCCAGGGCACGGTGGTGGGTGGTGGTGGGGTTGAATGGCAGGCATTTTGCAAGAGGGGAGAGACTTGGGGGTTTATTTTTGGTTTTAGCTGGGAGTGTTTTTAACTATTACTGTAAGCCACCTTGAACCAGGCAGAAAGGCAGGCTACAGATGTTTTAATAAATGGTTGCAGTGGACAGTGCCGAGAAGCCATGGCTGACTTATAGTGACCCCGTAGGGTTGTCCGAGGCAAGAGACGCTCGAAGGTGGTTTGCCATTGCCGGCCTCTGCCTAGCGACCGCAGACTTCCCATCCCAAGTACCTACCAGGGACGACCCTGCTTAGCTTCCGATATTGGGCTGGCTTGGGCTATCCAGGTCAGTGCTTTGATAAATAAATAGACTAAACCCTCCATTCCTTATCCAGAGAGGAAACTAGAGCAAAACCCTCATTTGGGTCTGAATTTGGGAGCAGGTGGCCATCTTTGCTTTTATCAAAGGACGTCTTTGCATCTTCCCAATTCAGCCCCACGCACGTTTCAAACACTCTCGAGCCGCCGCCATTGAAAAGAAAAAAAAGTACCCCTCGGGATCTGCTGCAACGTGTTTTATTATGTGCCAAGAACTACATCACAGCTTACTCCACGCATCTGGTAGGAGAGTGCAGTCTTGCCTGCCTGATAACTACAATGAGGTAGAGACTTCACACACCGTTTCACAAAACCT